TACCGTGGAGAGATTCTAATGTAGAAAGGTTGAGGTTGCTCGTCGTCTCGCTTAAAGGTGTAAATTATGGATTTTAGTCTCTCTTAGGGTGTTCAGGGCAATATGCCATAGTTCTTAGCTTTTACGGCACTTTAGGGATGCATTAGAGGAAACTAGAGGAAACGTTCTCTGTCCGTTTCAAAGTGGGGTCTTTTAGGGCTCAGTAAAACTCAAGCCTTATTTTTGAGCTTCATTAAAACATTCATAGCCTTACCTTACTGGGGGGCTGGGATCTTGTCACATCAAAGCACCTGCAATAATCTTTCATTTTGTCCTGAAGGTGAGTAAGAACTTTCTCCAGTTCACCCTGCGCGTCTGATTTGAGTAAGAAGAACACATCTCCACCGGTGTCCAGGAACTTCTGAGAGTCAGGAATAAGGCGACGTCCCGGATCTCGAAGGTCTAGATTTGCCAGTTTTGGATCATCTTTGTACCACTTGCTCCACTGGTTTGGGTCAAAGGCGACGATTGCTCTGGTCCGGGATTCTGTAACAATGAATTAACGCCAATATATTTCACTGATTTTGCAGGCTTACTTGCTGGCAATAGTTGTTTTTGTCAACCCTTCTGCCAAAACTCTCTCTACTAGAAAATCTCTACTTCTCATTTACCACTCCTGGACTGAATTTGTTCCTGAAATTAAATCCGCCACTTTCAAGTCACAACGTAAATTAAAGACATTTGTTGGAAATGCAAACTTAGAAACTTCGTAGTTAGAATCCATTAGTTTACTCAACTCACGTCATATGGCTTGCCAGTTTAGTTGTTGGAACATTTTTGTCGTAATAAGATCATATTGTTCGCTAAATTATCCTCGAACTTCTCGCAAATTCCAAGGCATCGAAAATCGGAAGTGGTGCTAATTTTTTTCGATTATTTTTTTTCAATGTTTCACGGCTGAACTCTGTGAAGGAAACTATTGAAGGCCACACAGCAGTCCAACGCAAAATTCAAAATGGAAAAGGAAAGCATGCTTGTCAGCCTTTCCGCTTTGTCATCTCTCCTTGCGCCTTCCTTCCCCACTTCCACCCCCCTTCCCCCCCCCTCCGCCCCCCTCCGCCCCCACATCTCAATTTATCGCACACCTCCTGCCTTTTAAAAGCCTCTGCGATATTTAAGATCCACAAGAGAAATAAATAACTCTTTACCATTTCCTTCGGCTTTCTCCAATTCTAGCGCGTACTTTATGACGTCACAGGCTGCTCCCAGAATTCCACTGTGCACTGAAGGGTCGTCTACATCCAGGTCTTCTTTGTACAAGGCCGTCACAAAAATTCCAAACTTTGGTTTACCAAAGAGTAAGCCACGTTGAGCCTTGCGAAGGACTTGGTCCTCGACAATATCCATCTAACAAAGAATAAGTTTTTAAAGCTTGATTGATTAATTGATTGATTGATTGATTGATTGATTGACTGATCGATTGAAGCTTGTTTGCTAATATTAATACAGTAACGTGACTCGCGTTGTTTTCCCAGATTTGGCTCCAGCCACGATAAATCCT